ACACACACACATTCCACATATGAGTCTGTATATATATATATATATATATATATATATATATATATATATATATATATATGCACTCTTCTCTAAAGAACTGTGAAGGACAGGTATATTTATAAAGTGCTTCATACTTGCACAGGACTTGGCCCTTTCATAATGTTTACTTAGTTTTGAAGAATGTCCTAGATAACATGGGAGTGGGAAAAGAAAAAGACAGGGACTCTATTTTTGAGTTATTTCCAAAATAAGAAGCTATGCAGAGTGACAGCAGCTAACATTTATATATATATCCCTTAGGGGATAGCAAGCTTCGTTCACAGATGTGATTGAACTGTCAATCCAAATCATTCAAACACAACAGTGGCTTCTTCCAAAAACAGACTTTAGTGGACACAGAGGGATGGACCCAGAACAAAGGACAACAGTGTGGTCACCAGATTTACCTCGGTGGCAGATAACCGCTTATCTCCATTGTCACTTCCAACTCCCGAATCAGAATCCTTCTTACTGGGTAGATGTCATCATCATTGAATTTGTTTGGGAAAAAAATTAAATATCACAAAGTTGACACCAAGATATAGCAATTAATAATGTAATGACTTCATTATATAAAATTTATCATTATTACTATGTGGCAACAAAATAATGAGAACTATACACACCGACTGAGGACATCATAAATTCTCTGTACTCTGGGCTTCTTCCTCTGAGGGGCAACTTATTTCTTTGAAACAGTTACCCATTTTATTTTATTGGTGTATATAAAAAACAGCAAGATAGAGAATTGTTTTTATCTCATAGGTAATAAAACATTTTCAATCATTCTGAAAACCTTTTCTGTGATTAATTACAGCTGGTAATATAAATACAAAATAATCAATAAATACTTAATGCATTATTTTGAAAATTCATTTAGGGTGGTAAGAGATTTCAAGTCACCCTGCTTAGCAAAAAGCAAAGCAAAAGATCTCTGCCCTGGAGAAGTCTCCAGGAGAATCTGCTTCTTTAGTGTCACTGAGGCACCCCTGTTCTCTAGATGGCATGGCCTGTCTTATAACACAAATGGTCCAAGAATGCTCGAGAGGATTCTAACACTTCCACATGAAACAAAAAATAGGAAAAAAATTATCTACACTGCATTTTTAAAAACTGATGCCTGTGGGTCTTAACGGTGTTAAAATTCAACTAACAGTGTGCAGGTATACAGAAAATTGGTAAGTCCTAAAACATTTCAGCTTGATACCATCATTAAAACCAAGAACAGCAGGTTTGAGACAAGATCTTGCTGTATATACATACATACAGCTCAGACTGATCTAAAACCCACAATCCTCTTACCTCGGTTTCCTAAATACTGGGATTACAGGTGTATGCCAAGATGCCCAGCTTAGTAACAACAATTTTTAAAAATATAATGGTTTACAATAATAGCCTTTGCTAACTGCTATGTTAACTGTAAGCATAAAAATCCATTATAGATCTTGGTTATGAGCATCCACACATGTATTCAGGAAGAACTGGCATCAATTTTTTTTTTTTTTTTGTATGCCATTATTATCTCAAGCTCTAAGTCACAAATGTGAATCATACAAGCAAAGCATATGGATTCTGGCTTCCAGTTACCTGGGCAGCTGTGGCTAAGCACATTCTCAGTGGGCTCTCTCAGGAAGGAAGGCATTAACTCACCTATCTTCTACATGCTGGTGTAAATGAGGCCTCTCCATGGCGTGGAGGTAGAGGGGGTCAGTCGTCTTAATCTGACATGCTTGTATACTCAGATACTTAAATATGTGCACTTTGCCTTTTGTGCAAATCTATGGAAAAATCAGTAATGCATATTTAGTTCTCAGTGACCAAACAAAATATAAGTTCCAGATCCCTGACCATGTAATTTAATCTTTAGAATGTCATGGTGAGTAAACCCCTAACAATGGACACTAAACACACAAGAATTCTCAGGACTGTTCCCTCAAAATTCTACCTCAAACAGAAAATCATGCTTAAGAAATCCCTAACCTTTTGAAACTACTAAATTCGCACAAAAATGCATTTAAATGACAATAGAAAATCAAACGATATTGGTAATAGTCAATCTACAAAAGGTAATTAAAAAACATATTTTAAGTCCACAGAGAGCAAGTAAGATAATCATAGATTTAATAAGTCATTATACTTTTGAAAAAGAAAAGAAACTATAAAATAATTTCATTTGCACATACAAGCATCTATGCTTCCGTCTGTAGTGTTCTCACCTGAGCTGGAGGGGACTGCAGAGGGTTGTTCTCCAGAAGGAGCACTTGTAGCTGCTTCATCTCTCTGAAGCAGATGGGGATCACCAGGACTTTGTTGCAGGAAAAATCAAACTTTACCAAGGGGAGATCTACTAGTTCTGAAACAATAGAAAAAAATGAAACATTAATGAAGAAAGACACTCAGAAAACAGCAGGATCAAGTGGGCACACACTCTAAAATTAACTTTCTGCATATCTGGAGATGAGCCGTTTAGCAAAACCAAAGGTATGCTCTGCTAATGTTAGGAATACATGGTATGCATTTAAAGTATTTCCCTGAGTGGGGGAAAATCTTTCCCTGGGTGCTTTTGCCACTCATATTGTCTAAAGAGCCAATTTTCTTCCAGCAGAGGAACTGCAAGAACCATGTCACACAGACTATGTTTCTTCTACTGTAGCCCATTTTCCTGAAGCACTTGCTGACAATGAATGATATGCTAACTACTGAAAATCTTTATCTATTCACTGTTGTTTAGTTGGCACAGGGCCAGAAAGTTTCAGTAAATATGTTCCTGGTTTTCTCAGTTTTGTTTGTTTGGTTTGGTTTGGTTTGTGTGTGTTTGTTTTCCTAGTGTTATCTAGTTTAGGATTTTCCAAAAGGCCCCATAATTCCAATCTGGGCTTGTTGTCTTTGAAGTCATCCACAGTGCAGCTCATAGGAGAAGGCGATGCATTTAGCCTGAGGTTCCCACCCAGTGGCACAGTAAACACTCAGTAATTTCAAGTATTCCAACCAACACTGGCAGCTGCTAGGAATGAAGTCAAAGAAATCCCCGAAGAGCAAAGCAAGGCTGAGCCATGCCAGAACCCAGGCTGACGCTGGCAGATCTGAGCTAGCTGGATGATGACTACAATGGGGTCACTTCAGAACAGTGACCAGCACTTTGGGTATGGGAGCTGTATTTTAGAGGCTAAAATACAGTGGTTTCGAATATTTTTGGCCTTCTAAAGCAGAAGAAGGCCATAAACCAGATAGGGAGAGGAGCTGAAGGAGGGCAGTGGCCTAAAGGAAGACTCAGCAATCCCTCCTCTCCCACCACATGGCTGAGGCTGTCAATCAACCCCTCAGTATTACTTTAGCTCCCCCATCACCACTCCCTGGGGGCGAGTGCTGCATCTTCCCAGAAGTCAGGGCCTTGGGAATGTCAGGGGCTTTCTGCCTTCCATACCTCAGTGCATTACATGGTCTTCCAGAACAGAGTAATGAGGCTGATATTCTAGAAGGAAGATGCACACCCAACTCCCAGGTCTCGAAGCCCTATAGTCCCCCAATCAAGAAAATGCACGCACAGACTTGCCTACAAGCTAATCATATGAAGGCATTTTCTCAAATGAGACTCTCTTCCTAGAAACACCCTAGCCTGTGTCAACTAGACCAAAAACAAGCAAACTGACTAGCTAGTAAAGATCCCTTCAGGTTACTGTTTGTAGATCAGCTAGTTAAGGATTGGGATTTCCTGGGCAGGATGACTTCAGAGTTAAGCTGTAGCTGTCTCATCAGTGCCAAAATTTAATGGGACTCCTTGTTCTGAGGGACATAGCTTTTATGATTCCTTTGCTAGAAAAAAAGGGAGCTTTTTAGACAATAGCTATTTTATAGCAAGTGTTCCCAGCAATTGTTTACCAATTACAATGAAGACTATGAAGCATGAGTAGAGGAGTAATCAGGGCAGTGGAGAACTCACAAGTGACTAGCTAGGTAAGGATGCTTTTCCAAAGGCCACTGCCTTGTCCATCCACAGGGGTGTAGAGGGATGAAAACTACATCTCACAGCATTCATGCATAGGAGCTAATGACAATCTTGCAAGGCTGATCCAGAAAACTTCAAGAATCAGAACAGGTAAAGGAAGAAAGCAAGCCAAGAAGAGGGAAAGAGGAAGTGAAGAACCAGAAAAACCAGGAAGAGTGGGGGCAAACAGGAGGAGAAAGTAAAGGAGGAGAGGAAAGGAAAAGGAAGAGAAACAGGAAAAGAAGAGGAAGAACAGAGCAGAAGCAGGAGAAAGACCGATGGGAGGAGGAAGAGGAAGGGGAAAGAGAAAGGTGATGAGGCAAAGAAGCAGAAGGTGGGAGAGGAGGAGACGCCCCATTCCTCTCTCCATTTGAAGACAGGAGTAACTCCTTTAGCCCCCTGCCACCCTGTCCTAAGAGAAGGAGGCATGGCCTCCTCATGACATCAGTTGTAAAACCACACAAAACTGATTGGGGTAACTGGGCTGTAAACTTCTATTTTTTTCCCCTCCTTAAACTGAAAACATATGAGGAGAGATACCCCAAGAGAACAAATGAAGAATTAGGGAAGGTCACTGGAGGGCTGCCTGATGGTATCAACGCTTTTGTCAACAGGGCCCTCTAGACCCAGGCAGAAAGAAACCATATATTCAGATTTTTTTCTTTTTAAAAAGGACACTCCAGTAAGGTGAAGTTTTAGCTTTGAGTACATTCTAAAATATCAAAGCTGAGAAAACATAATTTTGGGAGGCAGAGCAAGTTATAAAGTTTTTGTTTGTTTGTTTGTTTGTTTTTTGTTTTTTTAGGGAAAAGAAAATGGTAAGAGAAACACAAGCCTAGGCTCAGCAGGTGTGCCCTCTTCCCCTGTGCCACACTGTGGCCACACAATGATGTCATTGGTTTTCCCTTCTGGAAATGGGTTCAATTATTTATGACATTTCCACAATGATTACCACAGGCATTTAAATGTAGAGGGACTTCTTAATAACGAGCCTGAAAGGTTGTACTGTGTAGATGTGCTATGAATTAAAATTGTTTGTAGTTTATTATTATTATTATTATTATTATTATTATTATTATTATTAGGGAAATAGTTTTATACACTCAAAGAAATGGGATTTCACAGGAACCAGTGGAAAAGTAAATCTCTTTCTCTGAGTTCACCTCAGATAAGTCTACACAGAGTAGTTTCTAATTCTTCTTCAAATGCAAGCCAGCATGAGCAAAGGGGAAAAAAAGCTCAAGCCCTCTTCCATCCAGCACAGTGCATTGTACAGAGATCTACCACACTGTTTCAGAAGCTGATTCATATCATGAACAAGAGAATAGTAACAGGATGGCAAAAATCAGGCAGCTTTCAAAACGCCACACAAATAAATCCCAAGCGAACTGGATGCCAGCTGCCTCCAAGTGTGCACACTTGTACAGAGATGACTTTCAAAAAATCAGAAATCTGGTACAGTAGAAGCTTCCAAAATGTAATCTATGCATGTATATAAAACAGTTAAAATGGAGTGACCTTAGAACCTATAATGTGGCAATGTACTTAAGCTGTAGAACATAGCAAAATCAAGCTGGTACTGACCTGGAAGTGTCAGCCCTACTACCCAACATGTGTAGAGCTTGAAATGCTACCACAGCAAAAAAGTAATCTTCAACATCTTACCTAGCTTGGTACCCTGGGAGTTACAGTAATGACTGGCCTGGCATAGAAGGCCACTGGTGCAATAGCGGCTCAGACATCACACGAACAATCACCTTCTGATTGGATTTAAGTTCACCCTACAAGATGAAACCCATATCTGGCACCATTAAAGACAGGGCCAAGAACCTATGGCTAGACAGGTAATGGGCCCTGGGGTAGAACCTACTATTACTATTCTGCTAAAAGTTGGCATTGTATTGAACTGACACCTAATAACTTACTGTTATACCCATAGATTAGTGCATCTCCAAACCCTCATCTGAGAAGCAGTAGATGACTTGCAAATGGCCAAGGTGAAGGGAGTAAGAGAGTCAGCCCCAAATGGAACAAAAATACTCTCCTTCTCCTCCTATGGTTTTGGGGATCATTGAGGAGGGGAGGGTGAGAAGAGGGTAATACCAGAGACAGTGATGACTACAAGGAAACATTGACTTGTGGATACACAGCAGGGGCAGCTTAACATGTGACTGCAGCAGTTACAACAGCACACACAAAACCTAAAAGAACGACCTCAGTCAGTTAACGTGGGAAGACCCGGTCAACTGTGAGTAGCACCATTCACTATGAGAGAGTCTCTGAGGTATATGCGAGTGGAGGCATGAGCTAGCTCAGCAGAAGCAAGCAAGCAGACAGGCATAATGCACTCTTTCTCTGGACTGACTGTCAATGTGGCTTCCTCAAGCCCCTCCCATGGGACGTCCTCACATGATGCCCTGTAACCTGGAACTATGAGCTAAAACAATTGCTTTTCCTTGAGTTGTATTTTTAATCCCGGCATTTTATCACTGAAACAGAAATGAATCTCTCTCTTTCTCTCTCTCTCTCTCTCTCTCTCTCTCTCTCTCTCGTGTGTGTGTGTGTGTGTGTGTGTGTGTGTGTGTGTGTGTGTGAGCGCGCTCGTGCACGCGTGCGTATGTACCATGGAAGGCAGAGTTTGCCATCAAGTGTCTTTCTTTATTACTCTCGTCTTTGTTATCATTTGTTTTACTATTCAAGACAGAACAGGGATCTATCCCATGTTCTAGTCTCCTTTCTGCTGCGGTGATAACACCACACTCTGGTGAAAAGCAACTCAGGGGAAGAGAGGACTTTCATCTCACAGGGCACACCACCCACAGTTAAGGGAGGTCAGGATAAGAACTGAAGCAGAAACTTGAAACAGAAACCATGGAGGAACACTGCTTGCTATTTTCCTCTCTGCCTTTAGCTGCCTTTCTTACACAGCCCAGAATCATCTGCCTAGAGATGGTGCCACCCACAATGAGAGGGACCCTCCTGTATCAATTAGCAATCAAGACAACCCCTCATATAAAAGCCCACAAACCAACCTGCTAAAGATGCCTGAGACTCTTTACAGGCAATTCTGGGTTACATCATGCTGACAGTTAATGCTAACGAGGCCAGTCTTGCACTGAACCTGCAGCCCACTGATTTGGCCAGGCTGGCTGGCAAGTGAGCTCCAGGGATCCATTTACCTCCACAACTCTTTCGTGCTAGGGCTGCAGGTGCACTCTGACACTCATACCTGGCTTCTCTGTGAGTACCAGCAAGCCAAACATATTTCTATGCTTATGGAACAAGAACTTTCCACACTAAACCATCCCCACCACACCCTTAAGCACTTAAAACTTCCAAGGAAACATGTTTTGATGCTTTAACCCTCATGCCCTACACAAGAGGGACATACTACTGCAAGAGCCCACAGCAGGGCTGCCTGGGGGGTACTACGACTGAGTGTACTAAGGTCAGGGGAACCAAGGGTCTATGCCAAAGCTTTAGGACTATCACTGGCACTGATAAGAGTGACTCTAGTACAAGAGAAACTCAGCAGTAGCATCACCCTCACCTACAGAATGGAGTGCAGACATTGTGGGGTTCCCAACCAGTGTTCCCCAAAGCTACAGACCCCGATAACCAGGATCTTCAGGACCAAGCTTGTCCCCTCCAGACTGTTGTCTTCATACTCTGGACCATCACACACCTGCCCCAAAAGAATTCATTCTGCAAAGTTCCTCACCCCAAAATTCAGATATAGAAATCCTAACCCCGATATATAAGAATTTAATGGAAATTGGAGAGAAGGCCTTTAAAGGGATGATTAAGTCACACTGAGGTCATTAGGGTAGACGCAAATCCTCTGCGGTAACAGAAAAAAGAACAGGACACAGACACAGATAGTGAGATGCTCTGAGAACACAGGAAGGAGAAGTCCATCTGTGAGCCATGGAAAGGGGCCTTGGAAGGAACAACCTAGCCAATACCTTCATCTCATACTTCCAGCCTCCTCCAGGACAGTGAAGAGACACATATCTGTCACTCAAGCCCTCCTCTCTGTGGTCCATTTCATAGCAGCTCTGGGAAGCTGACATACGTCCTGCTAACGGTCATGTTGCTATAGCCTTGATTCAAACTACAACTTGAACATCATTGTTCCGATATCTGCCAGTGAGATCCACATTATTAACAGCAGCCAGTGCGCGTGCACACACACAAGACCCACCGCCGCTCATAAAAGAAAACCGAAAGAGTGATGTCTCCCTCCCACGTTCTCTTCATCCTACCACCCTTTCTTACCTGGTGGTAAAACCTTAAGGTAATTTCTTCGGACGTTCAGTTCTCGTAGAGACTTCAGCTGGCCTATCTGCTGGGGCAAGGCTGTGATCTCGTTGCAGCTGACATCCTGTAGCAAGAGGAGGGTTGGGGTGTGGGGAGGTCGTCAGACATGTGTAATAAAATGCCTTTTCCCCAAGCATTTCATGTGAATTTTCCTCCAAGAACTTAAATGTTTGTGAAACTCCACATTATACTTTTGTACTGGCCTCCAGCTCCCCAGTTGGTGGGGCTCAACAGGAAGAAAAGGAGTTTGGTTTCCAATGTCCTCTGAGGTGAAAAAAGACATCACCAGACATTTTTTTGTCACTTTTTTAAAAAGGTGATTGAATCTTATTCAATACCCACCACAAACTTACAAGGCAATATTGCTAGCTACCGTTCATAGCTGGGGATAATGAGGCTTTGTGCCAGTTGGCATTAGGAAGGAATTACCAGGCACTGTTCAGGAGGAAAGCTACATGGACTCCCATCATGCCAAGCTCTTACACAGAGAACTATTAGCACACCAGCTGGTTGTACAATTTATTCCAAATGGACTTCCTATCGCATGGTGGAAAGCTGTGGCTGACCACTGCACACACATTTGGGAAGCAAGTCTGTGGGGTACAAGGATTCTTGTCACGATTGTTTGGAAGGGCAATACCTCACTAATCTCTGATTAGAACCAGCTCGTGCCATGTAAAATAAAGATGCAGCTCTTCTTGTCCTATACAAACTCATTATCCACCCGCACCTTCTCTTCAGATCCAGTCAGTTGCTGGGCTTTGCCTTCTTCTACAATTCAAGAACCTCCTTCAGTCTAACTACGCTCTCTCTCAGAAGGACTCCTGCACACGACACTGGCTGGCTGGCTTCTGTTCCTCCCCCCAGCACCTCAGAGCTTTCTCAGTGCAAATTTCATTCTGTTGTCCATCAACTTAAGCTTTAGCAAGACCCAGCCCTTGTGAGGAGGTCTGTCAGTTTCTCCAGGGCCTTTCTCTGGATGCTCTCTCATGCATTCTGCACTCAAGCCATGCAGTAGCCACTTGGGAGTTTTGGTGTAGGCCATGCTGTCTCACAGCTGCAAACTCATTCTGGCTTCCCCGTTGCTTGATACAAAAGCTCTGGCATCGTCCTCTTGGACTTCTACTCACCTGCTATACCTCAACTCAAGCCTCAGCTTTTCTCTATGAGAACATTCCCACGATACTCTCCTGCTCTGAACAACACCCAGGGATGGATATTTTCCCCTTTCCCTTTGTGATCCTACACATACAATGTGTACCTATATTTCACTTGCTCCCTTAGACTCCTTCTCCTGCAAAGCTGCAAGTTTCTAGGTGAGAGGACCCATGCATAGTCTCTCCATCTTTCGAGTGCCTAGCAGAGTGCCAGGTGTTAGGCAGAGATGAAATTTCTAATGCATCCCATAACATTGTGGCTCCTTGCATCTGGGGCCCCAGAATGTTTTAGCATATCACTCAAATTCCATGCAACTCCCATTAGCTAGTACAGGACCAAAGACAAATTCAGGCTATGAATTTTCCCAGTGAGGTTTAGTCATTAAATAGCCCATGTTACTTATGAACCTGAAAATCCTTCACTTTGGAAGTCACCAGGGTCTCATTACAAAAAATCCATTTCACTTTCCCTCAGACCAGATGGCTGCATCGGTAACCAGTCAATCGCTTGCTCACTACCTCAACCCCACAATCAGGATCCCCGTGAGACCAGGGCTATGTCAGTCAGTGATCCCATCTTCTGGCTTTGCCTCGTTGACTCAAGCCCTCAGGTTGTCCTTGTTAGTCACAAGCCTGCTCAATGCACACTACGTCACAGGGGCACAGTGTCACCTCTGATGCAAGAGTACAAGGCTAAGTCTATGAAAAGAGTGTGCATGGAGAAGGTGGCACACTGCTGGCTCCTGTCTTCAGCTGAGTGGGGAAGTAGGGAGAGGGGGATCATGGTCACAGCATTTGATGCCCTTCTCCTCATTCAGAAAAGTCACATACATTCTCATGGTAAAGCAAAACAGCAAAGCAACAACAAACTTCTACCAGCACATCTGCAGAAATGAAAAAAGTACAAGAAAAGTAAAATCAGGGGCTGGAGAGATGGCTCAGTGGTTAAGAAGACTGACTGCTCTTCCAGAGGACCCAGGTTCAATTCCCAGAACCCACATGACAGCTCACAATTGTATGTAATTCCAGTTCCAGGGGGATCCGTCACCAATAATCAAAGCACCAATGCACATAAAATAAAGATTAAAAAAAAAGAAGAAGAAAGTAAACTCAGAATTAGGTGGTGGCCAAAAGCAAACCCTTCCTTCCTGTGAGAACTGGATCTTTCCATGCCTTAACTAAGTTATGAATCAGGAACGGGGCCATTCCATTCTGGTTTCCAAGAGCCCCAAAAGCATGGAACCCAGGCAAACTTGAGACGGGCGTCATATCAGATCACTGTACTCTAGACTCTAGATTGGGCCTAGCACAGAAGTGATGATGTCAGAGGTGGAGGAAGGGTTGTAGGGATCTGTGGGGAGGATTTGTCTTTACTGAACCACAAATTAAGTTTCTGTAAGTCTTACATGCCAGCACAGGGGAAAGCTTTGTGCTCGTAGAGATCTGTCTCAGTGTGAAACCAGCAATTTCCACACATTTCAAAACATAACTAATATGATTTTCTTCTTTAAAAAATGAGTGGGAAAAGGGAAGCTAAAGGATAATCTATATATTTTGGCAATGCACTCACAGAATGCCCTATTCTGAGATCAAATTCAGTCTTGCTCCATTCTTAGGAAGAACTATATACCTTGCCCTGTGTCAACTGTTCCCAGTTAGTTAGCATCAAAGTATGCTGGACCCCTAAAGCCAGGTGACTCCTCCCAGCACAAACCCCTAACACCGAGGCCTTCACAAAACCTAGGCCTGCAGGCTGTATTTAAACATGTGCTAATAGACACAGCACCTACTTACTACACATAAAACAATACTACATCCCAAAGGCACCCAACTTTTCTGCCTAAAGAGACAGGATACCTGTGAACAAATGTAAGCACAGAGACCAGCAGCCTGTTCAGATTTTGAAGGGTGCACGTCAACTATGCTAATAATACTCTATGTTCCTACTAGTTATGCCTCCCAATAAAATAGTAAGCAAAAAAAATCCCAAGAAAATCTATTACATAAGGGAGAGACCGGCTGTCCACCATTGTACATTCAATCTGGTAAAAACAGGGCAAGTCCTACTCCCCAGGAGCCACTGAACCTAACCAAATTTTAAAGAGGTTATGAATTTCATCATAAAAATAAACCCCACGGGTAATTATGTCTAATTAGCTAAAGGAGGAGGAGTAGGAAAAAGAGATAATAGTCTACATGTCTAGGGACGTTTTGGTCTTGAAAATGCACAAGCAATATTTCTAGAATGGCCTTATTCTGTAGAACATTTCCTTGCAAATTTAGCCTAAATAAATTTAAACAGTCCTAGCTAGGGCTGTTTAAAGATTTTGAAAAGACAACACTTTGAAAAATAAATTAAACAAATAGCAATGCCTAACTGCAATTAGTGAAAATTATCAGTATGTAAATTCCACATTCATTTACTTACTAGAATATTCAAATTAATTCCTTCTGAATTTTCTACTAGCCCCAAGCTACTATGTCTTATCGAATAACTAACCTGATTGTCAGTGAAATCACTGTATGTTCAATGTTATAACAACACAATTGTACAACCCAAGAATCATAAGCAATTGTTACAATATTTACTGATTCAATTCTTCCAGATAGAGAAGTGAATCTATTTATAACAATATTAATACTCAAATGTAAGCTTTTCGTGGACTAGCTAACCCAACTCCATGATTTAGAGTCTAACAATGATTTAAACCATACTCATTGGTGGAGTGGCATAATACCAGCAGAAGAAAGTCTATGAGAAAATTAGATCTCTATGTAATCTGTGGAGAAGCAAATTATCAGCAGTCTCCAACCATCACCCTCGGCACCACGTCCTTCGGCACCACACCCTTCTGTAGAGATGCCTTTTGTATGCCTCACTCTGCAACTTTAGGCGAGTGCCTTACTCTCTTTGTGCTCATATGCAAAGGAGAGATGATCGCCAATCAGCTTTAAAAAGGGCCTGCTGCCAAGCCTGATGACGAGAGTTCAATCCCAGACACCTGGAAGCCACATGGTAGAAGGAGGGCATTCACTCCCCCAAGTTTCCTAACTTGCACACACCAAACAAACAAACAAATAAATAAACGAGCATTAAATAGTTCTAATTTTCTCTGAACACGGAAAAAATCAACCGACTACACAAGAAATAATGAAAACACTGAGTGGTACTCGGTAATATAATGTCAATTTTCATTTCTTGGTAGTAAAAAAACCTTCAATGCCTACGGTCAGAACTTGAAAAAAGAAAAACAAATAACTGTATATTAATTTAAACTTGAATCCTCACAAGCAAACTTTGATGTGATACGTGATCTCCTGACACCCTTGCCTCTCCAATGTGAGACTATACCTCGGACTTCTCTGCATACCACAAACACATACATCATGCCCTGTTCTTGATAATAAGCAGAAATGGAAGCCACAGAGGGGCCCTGAGCAACTCCTGGGTTTCCACAGAAGCCAGAGAGGTCAAAGATATCTCCGGAGACCACTAATGGACACATGATTACAGCAGGCCCATTGCCACACAATCCCACACCTACTTCAGAGGCAGGAACATTAGGCATAAAATAATGCAGGGGTAGGACTCTTTCAGAAGTTTGTCATCAGTCTTTTAGTTCAAATTCCCTACACAACCAAACAGTTCATGAAAAGAGAATAAAAAACTGTTTCTAGCTAGGGCCTGGAAACACACCTTCTAACCAGTATGACTGGGGCCAGTCTGGTGGGCTTTCTAATTATAAAGGCAGGTTCCTACATCAGGCCTTGTGCTCTTTTGCGTGGATAACAGGATGCTCACCCAGTGAGGGAGTGGGTGAGAACTGAGAAAAAGCAAACATGGCCAGCAAGCCACTCAGCACACAGGAGCAGTGTGGAGCTACCGAGCCTTTGGCATATGTCTTGT